TCGTTCCTGTCCCACCTGTCCCCTCTCACCTGTCCCCTCTCACCTGTGCCACCTGTCCCCTCCCACCTGTCTCACCTGTCCCCTCCCACCTGTCTCACCTGTCCCCTCCCACCTGTCCCTTCTCACTTATCTCACCTGTCTCACCTGTCCCCTCTCACCTGTCCCCTCTCACCTGTCCCCTCTCACCTGTCCCACCTGTCTCTTCTCACCTGTCCCCTCTCACTTATCTCACCTCTCTCACCTGTCCCACCTGTCCCCTCTCACCTGTCTCCTCTCACCTGTCCCACCTCTCTCACCTGTTCCACCTGTCCCCTCTTACCTGTCCCACCTGTCCCTTTTCACCTGTCCCACCTCTCTCACCTGTATCTCACCTGTCCCACCTGTCCCCAGGTGACCCCCGAGGATGAGCCGAGGCTGGAGACGTTCCTGTCCCTGCAGAGCTTCGTTCGGGGTCAATACGGGGACGAGGCCTCGTTCCTGTCCCACCTGTCCCCTCTCACCTGTGCCACCTGTTCCCTCTTACCTGTCCCCTTTCATCTGTCTTACCTGTCCTCTCTCACCTGTCTCACCTGTCCCCTCCCACCTGTCCCCTCTCACTTATCTCACCTGTCTCACCTGTCCCCTCTCACCTGTCCCACCTCTCTTACCTGTCTCACCTGTCCCACCTGTCCTGTCCCACCTGTCCCAGGTGACCCCCGAGGATGAGCCGCGGCTGGAGACGTTCCTGTCCCTGCAGAGCTTCGTGCGGGGTCAATACGGGGACGAGGCCTCGTTCCGGGCCCTGGACTCCCACCTGCGGGCGCTGCCCGGGGGGTCCCGCGCCCACCGCCTCTTCTACCTGGCCCTGCCCCCGAGTGTCTACACACCTGTGACCCGGAACCTCAGAGAGCACTGCATGGGAGAGGGGTCAGTGACACAGGGGACATTGGGGACACTGGGGACATTGAGGGGACATTGGGGGACATTGGGGACATTGGGGACATTGGGGACACCCCTGTCACCAGGAACCTCAGAGAGCACTGCATGGGACAGGGGTCAGTGACACTGGGGACATTGGGGACACACCTGTGACCTGAGGGAGCGCTGCATGGGAGAGGGGTCAGTCATGGGGATCCCCTCTGTCCCCCCCTGTGTCCCCCTGTCCCCCTGTGTCACCCGTGTCCACGTCTGTCCATGTCCATCCATGTCCTTCATCCACATCCGTGTCCACGTGTCCCCTGTCCCCCTCTCATGTTCCCTGTTCCCCCTCTGTCCCCTACTCCCCTCTGCTGTCCCCCACCCTCCTCTGTCCCCCCCTGTCCCCCTGTGTCACCCGTGTCCCCTGTGTCTGTCCATGTCCATCCATGTCCATCCATGTCATTCATCCACGTCTGTGTCCACGTGTTCCCTGTGTTCGTGTCCCTTCTTGTCCCCTGTCCCCCCTCTGATGTCCCCTGTCACCCTGTGTCCCTCTGTGTCCCCCTTTGTGTCTCCCTGTGTCCCCCCTTGTGTCCTCCTGTCCCCCTGTGTTCCCTGTCCCCCTCTGTGTTCCCCTGTGTCCCCCCCTGTCCCCCCCGTCTCCACCTCTCCCCCCTTGTGTCCCCCTGTGTTCCCCTGTGTTCCCTGTGTCCCCCATGTCCCTCTGTCCCTCTCTGTGTCCCCCTGTCCCCGTGTCGCCCTCTGTCTCCT